TTTCGTGAATCATCGAATAAAGCCAAAAAGATCTTTAATTTGTCAGGGGGTTCTCAAAGAGTCTCCAGCCTTCGCTCCACCCCTGCTGTCCAAACCCTGGAAGGGAATTCGATGCTAGATTCACAGAGAAAGAGATAATTTCCCAGGGACCCTCAGCAAACAGTGTGTAAGGAGACTTTGTCCTATGTCTATAATGATAATAAGTTTTCTACATTTTCGCTACACACGCTTTGTGAGAAAGGTCTAAATACTTTCTCGTGGTAAAAGTTCAAGAAGTCGAGTTGCAGAGAGATCAAGGCCAGACCCTTAGGTAATCGGCAGAGCCAGATTAAAACCTGTGAGCCTCTAAAGGAGCCTCTAAAAACCTGTGCAAAATCCCCCATTTGAAAATTCGAAACCAAATCCCTCATTACATTTTTCTAGAAAAGTATAGCAAACAGGATTTGACTTGTGACCTCTGAAACATAACTCTCCACGTGGTCCCAGCAAGGGCCTGAGGTGGGAGGAAGGCAAATGAGCGACACACTTCTGCTAGGCACCTGGGGAGGACAGTTTTGGTTTCCAGAGGGTAGAAGCAGGGCCGGGCAGAGGGAGGGCTGAGGACCGGAGTGATTCTGTCTTTTCCTGTCTGCACGGGTTCTCACTGCCTTACTCAACCTGGGACTTGAAACACCAGCTCTTGGCCTCAGGGAAACCAGATGCAGAAAAAGTCAGAGAGCCTGGGTTTGAATCTAGAGCTTACAAACTGCATGACTTTGGGCCAGGGATGGATGTAATCTTCCTTTCTGAGACTTCATTCTCAAAATCTGTGAAATGGGGGTGTCAGTGATGTCTGGTTTGGTCTACTTCAACCGATTGCTGAGAGATGACATTTGATAGATGAGGTTGTTATGAGTTATGCAAATACATGCAAAGTGCTGCTATGTAGAAGGAAGTTACTCCTATTTCCAGAACCTCCTCTTTGAATTGAATTTATTCTAGAGTGAGAATCTAAGTTACTTGTTCTATGTTCTCGATGCATCTGATTTTCAGTCCCATCAATTATTCCTGGCTTCGCCTTAGCGAACGGAATTTTTGGCAACAGCCGGAGAAAGTGCTATTCCTTTGGGGGCAAGATGGTATTTCTATCCTACCCTGGCTGGTGAGGTGAATGATAGTTATTTGGCAAAAGTGACGTGCAGGGGGTTAAAGTTCACCACTCCTAAGTGATGGGGCAGGGAGTCCCTTTTCTGTTCCAGTGGCTCTGAGGTCTGGTTGTGACTCAGAGAAGCCAACTTTGGGAGAAAGAAGTGGTGATAAGAAAAGGTCTAATGTTCAGCTACCTTGGTGCCTTAACTGCCCCAAACCCTTACCGCAAGGCAAAGCGGGGGGGCGGGGGTCATTCCTCCCTTTCATTCGTACACTTGCACTCCAGAGTATCACTGAGCACTCACTCTGTGCCAGGATTATCCTGGGCACTGGGAACACAGACATAAGCAAGACAAGCCCATTGTTGTCCTCCTGCTGCTTGTAGTTTGAGAGGAAAATGAAGTTAACTAGCTAATGTGACCAGAGAGGAAGTATCAAAGACCAGGGGCAACTTAGAACCTTAGTGTGAGGGGCTGTAACCTAGCCTGGGTGCAGAGAGAGGCCTTTGGAACTTGGAGGACGAATAGGAATTGGGTAGGCTGGGGGGGAGGGTGGCGGGGGATGGTGAGCAGATAGATCCTGGCATTTGGGAAGGTGATGAGGGGAGAAAGAGAACAGAAGTTCAGTTAGGCTTCTGGGATTTTTTTTTTTACTTCTCTTCATGGCCGTTCTTGTGAACTTTCTTTTTTTTTTTTTTTTTAATTTATTTGACAGACAGAGATCACAAGTAGGCAGAGAGGCAGGCAGAGACAAAGGGGTAAGCAGGCTCCCTGCTGAGCAGAGAGCCCGATGCGGGGCTCCATCCCAGGAACCTGGGACCATGACCTGAGCTGAAGGCAGAGGCTTAACCCACTGAGCCACCCAGGCGCCCTTTTGTTAACTATTTTAAATATGATGCCACCTGAATAAAAATGTGGGACACCAAGACCTCTGGGTGGTTTTTGTCTAGATTCATCTCCAACCTGAGCTCAGGATGGCTTAGGATGGGCAGGACAGAGGAGGGCAGTTTAAAGTCTGATGAAAGGCTCAGGTCTTTTTTTATATAGCTGTGAGTCTAGCATTAAATTCCTATGCATTTTGATTTTCCCTCGGGATATTTCAAAGCATCAAGAGCAAGGCCATGTACGTAGGGGCAGAAGGGGATGAGGGCACTGCCTCTGTCTACATTCCCACCCCAATGTTGAGGCTATTTTGGAGGCATGGAGGAAGTGCTGGCTTGTTTACAACACAGATCCTGTTTTGAAGCTAGGAGGGACATCCCGCTGAATTGCACAATTCAGCTTCCACCCCTACCCTGGGTGGCCTCACCTGGGGCTGCGCCCATCTCATGCTCAGGTGGGCATCCTGAAGGGGGAGGGAATGATCGGGGCTTCAAGATCTCTTTTTATTTCGCATATGAAGAAACCAATGCCCAGAGAGGCGAGATGAGCAGGACAAAAATCACATGACCACTTGGTTGCAAAGCTGGGCCTAGAATGCCTGTCTCCAATGCACCTGCCCGTAATACTTCTATCTGGGGCCTTTACAATTGTACTTATTCTATCTCCATGATTCTGATACTCTGAGCGGTACTGTGTGACAGATAGGGATTAAGATATCTTTTTTTTTTTTTCGATAAGAAAACCGAAGCTTATAGTGTTTATTTGGCCAAGTCCTCCAAGTTAGAAAGTAGTTCTCCTAACTCAAAATTCAGCGCATTTTCCACTCTGCGCTGTACTTAGGAGGCACACACGATCTCAGGCTTTGCCGATTATCCACCTGAGAATGGCCTGGAATGTAGATAATGACTACAGAGGAGGGCTTTCAAGGAGTAAATTAACCATGTTTGAGCATTCTTGCCAGCCCTCCAGCTTCCAAGTTGCATATCAAAATCAAAATCAGCAAGTAGCTCTCCCTGCAAATTGCCATCTCAACCTCGAGCCAGCAGTTTGTGTATCTGTGTGTGTGTGGGGGGGGGGAGTGTCTCTATGTCTTCAAATCCACGCTTAGGGGACACGTGTCTCTGTTTCCTGCTGGGACGCTGACACTTGCTCTTGCGGAGAAGGCTGTCATTAACTATACGTTGGCAGAAACAATAATCGAATCATCTGTGGGGTGTTGTGACTCTAGCCACATTCCTCTCATTTTCCCTTGGGAGTTACATGGGGGTAGCAGCGTCTTTGCTGTTGGTCCCGGAGGTGGCAGGGTGGTCCCCTCCTGGTAAGGTGGCCCTGACAAGACAAGGCTGGTCTAGATTGTGAGTGGGAGCCGATGGTGGTTCCTTGTCTTTCCCAGGGGATAAATGATTTGCTTGGTAGGGAGAGCTGGGTGGTTCTATGATGATGTTGAGGTGGACAGAAAGTGGGGTGGGCGGGGAACCTGACTCGGGGAGAAAACTGGAGTTGGGAAGAAGAAGGGGACTCCACATCCTGAGGCCAGGTTCCCCAAAAGTCTGGCTGGTCTGGCTGGCTCTGGGGTGGGGGGGCGTGTTATCAGGGAGGGTGGCAGAATGCAGGGTTCAAGGAGGTGAGAAATGGCTATCCCTCCTTTGGCAGGGTGGTGCTGGGCAGGGAAGGAGCCCCAATAAGCTAACCAGAGAGGACTTTGGGGCAGGAGGCGAAATCAAGCAGCCATGGTTTGTTGAGAACAAGGAGCATTTTGGGGGAGCTGAACTGATCACCCCTTCCTGCCTTGAAACCAAGGACTTGTACAACCATAGCAGCCTTCTCACCTTTAGCCCTGCTCCTTCTTCTGTCTTTAGTCTTATCAGAAACCAGGATCTGTGTCCAGAGCACCGTCAAATACAAAATGGAAGAGAGGACAGGCCACGGTGGATAGGCCTTGGCCCTTCCTACAAATCTGCAAAAACATATTTTACCTTGGGTGTGCCTCAGCAGTTCCCACTGTAGGAGTAGTATCTCGCGGTTCAGAGAGGGTCTGGATCCTCAAGCTGAATTTAGGATTAAGATGGGTCCCCTTCACTCCTTGAGGGTCTGTCCCTCCTACCCACAGTGACAAGCTTTACAGGCTTGGAGAAGACTTGGAGCAGGTGCAGAATGCAGGCTGAACGGACTCGTGAATATGTCCATTTTGCAGCAGAGGTAGGCTGGCTCCGTGCTGGGTCACCTGCAGGGTCACAAGCAAGCCCCTGAGCCAGGGCCTGGGTTATGCACAGGTATTCCCGTGTGCAAGGAACCCTGTATAATTGCATACCCATCCCGGCATGGCAAGTCCCTCGCTGTACTGCCTCTGTGCAGGGGGCACAGTGACTGTGCTCGATGCCCGAGCAGTTTAGCTTGATCCTGGGTAGTTTCTGGCTGCGGCCACTTCAGGTACGTTTTGATGCCCAGAGTAGTAGAAACCATGTGAGTTTCACAATGGGGGCGGGTTCATCCGGCTTCTGATTTGCCGGCTGCCGCGTTCTGCGTGTTCAGAGCGAATTTTCTTTGGCTCCGGGCTGTCCCTCGGAGGTGGGGATGCGGCGGGGGTCGGGGGAGGTGATCCCGCGACCGGACGCGACCCGGGGCTGCTGCAGTCAGGGAAGGAGACCCTCCGCGGTTTAGGACGACCTCGACGCGACCCGGGACAGGAGGCAACTAACTCCGGGGAAGACGAGCGAGCCCCAGCCCAACTCTCGGTTGCCGCAGGGCGGACGACGCGGTGCGCCCGCCGGCGGGCATGGGGACGCACCCCAGCGGGCGCTTGCTGCCTTGACCTCCCCATCCCCGCGCGGGGAGGGGCCCGAGCGGCGCCGAGGCCGCCGAGCGCGGAAAGTGCGCGAAGCGGACGCCGCTGCGAGCCGCACACGTGACGGCGCCGCGCCGAGCCGAGCGGGACCCGGCGGCGGCGGCGGCGGCGGGCGCAGCGGGGCGGCCCCGAGCGGCGCGGGCGGCCTGGAGCCCGGGGAGCGGCGCGCGCGGCCCCAGCCCAGCCGCCGTCCCGGCCTCGCGCTGCACATTCTCTCCTGGCGGCGGCGCCACCTGCGGCAGCGTTCGCCCGAACATGGCGACACGGAGCAGCAGGAGGGAGTCGCGACTCCCCTTCCTATTCACCCTGGTCGCGCTGCTGCCGCCCGGGGCTCTGTGCGAGGTGTGGACGCAGACGCTGCCCGGCGGCCGCACGCCCCTGCCCCAGGACCGAGGCTTCCGCGTGGTGCAGGGCGAGCCGCGCGAGCTGCGGCTGTGGGCGCGCGGGGGGCCTCGGGGGGCGGACGAGAAGCCGCTCCGGAGGAGACGGAGCGCTGCCCTGCAGCCGGAGCCCATCAGGGTGTACGGACAGGTGAGCGGCCGGCCACCCACCCGTCTTCCCCAGGCTCTCTCCTCTCCCCGCACTTCCTCAGCCCCGCAACCATCCTCCGCGGCCGCCTCCCAGGTGCCGGCGCCCCTGGGGACTTCCCGGCTTGCGATTGTGTCCCCCCCCCCCACCTCCCGCAGGAGTGTGACCGTTCGCACTGGAATTGCATTGATCTTTCCTTCTTCCTGTCGATTTTAGCAAACGTCTTCCAGGTAACTCGCGGGGTGCAGTGCCCATTTCCGCAGGGTGTGTGCACACCCGTGTAGTTTCCAGCAGGTAGAGGAGGGGTGCAGCTGCATTTTACATGTGGGTGAAAAACCGGGTTTCTTTAGTGTGCCGTCAGTTGGCAGTGGAGGCGAGGGCAGCCTGCGGTTGCAGTATACTTACACAGGGAGCACTGAGGGGAGGGGGACTCCACGCCGACCGTTTTTAACCACAGTTAAGGTGGGCAAACCTGAAAGCGTGACTTTCTTGCTCTCCCCAGAGCAAGAGGTGTGTGTGTGTGTGTGTGTGTGTGTGTGTAAGGGCTGGATTTTGTTGTTTGTTGGGGGAGGGAGGGTCTGTCCTTTCTTTCCACCTTCCCTTTTGAGATACTGACTTTATTTTTGGATAAGAATATTAACTCATGGACCTTAGGGATTTGAAAGACTACAAGAATTTGGTGGGCATTGTTATTCAGCAAATGATTTATTTCTGTCCAGGCAATGGGCTTATTAGATCACGAGTAACATGAATTTCACTTTTATGGCCAGACTTACTGCTAGGAATAGCAGACCGAGTTTGTGGGTTTGTATCGGCATTGGCAAAATTAATTTGACCCTGTTACCGCCTCATGAGACTCCTAGCCCTGTGGTTAAGGTTGACATCAGCAAAACTAGAAGGTCAGTGGGGAAGAAAAAGTGGGACCAGAAGAGATGGTAAATGACACGGTTTCTAGAGTCAAAATGTTCCCATTTAAAGCAGAAGTTAAAAGGTTAGTGTGAATTCTGCCCCTCTTCACTGATTCTCTTTAGCCATTTCTTCAGGAAATGTAGAGAGTTAAATGTTCAACCCTTAGAGCCAGGAAGGACCTTATAAACCATCTCACTGATTGTGCCATTTTGTTGATGACCAAACGCTGGCTGAGGAAAGTGAAATGACTAGCCCAAGGTCACGTGGGGCAGGGTTGCCCGGTGTTTAGTTTTTGTTGGCATCATCTCAGTGACCTTTGGGTGATCAAATAAACCTCTCTTTATACAATGTTCCCTAAATAATTCTTTCCTAAAATAAAAAAATATAAGGCTCTTAAGGGGGTAGGGGATGGTGGCAAGTGGGTGGGAGCACTTGACTTCCATCTACCACCAGGCCCTGGGAAAGAGCGTGTGCAGAGGTGCGTGTAAACTGCTGTGGGCCAAGGCTGCTGGGGCCTGCCTGCCAGCTCCGTTTGTGTGTGGGTCCTGACCTTCTTCCCCGCTGCACCCTCATGAGAGACTTCTTTTTGTATGTGGAAAAGAAGACAGCAAGGTCATCATTCTCGACTGGGACGGCAGCATCCTGGTGTTGAGTAGGGGAGGGAAAAAGAGAGACTGCCTTGTTCATGGAGCCTTCCCGGCCATCCAGCTCTGCTGTGGGCTTGAGTCAGCTCTCTGGGGGCTGGGAGCGGGAGGGAGGGAAGGGAGTCAATTCTTCCTGGAGCCCGGGTCCCCTGCAGCTGTAGTCTTGGCTGAGGGCAGTGCATCCCAGTCTAAACAGTATGTGTACAGGTACCATTTCTTCCTTGGGTTTGATTTGTGAACCAGCCCGACTGAGTTTGGTTCAGCTGAAGGTTGGAGAGCTAGCTGTTGAACCAGTAATGAGGAATTCCTACCAAGGGTGAAAGCCCCGGGCAGTGTTTTCTCTGAGGGCCCAAGGTTAATAAAAGAGGCATTAACTTGAATCTTCAAGGATCTCAGTTAGATAGAAGGAAGAACTTCCTGGTCCTGGGCTTTCTGCCACAAACACATCTGACAAAGCCCCTTTAGGCTGCAGTTGCTGGAGTCAGGGACTCCAAGGGGTTTGGTGTGCCCCTCTTGGAGCTCTCTTTGGAATGACCTTTCTAGCAAGGGTGATCATTTGCCTCTGTTTTCTCTGGGACAGACCTAGTTTATAAGTTGTCCCTGCTGCTTATGAAAGCGCTGTCCTCACTCTTACATGTCAGAACGCAAAGTATAAATCATATGGCCATTCTGCTTCTAGCTCTAAGCCAAGTTCCATTTCATCCCCCCTCCGCTTTCACTTTTTAAACCCTGAGGAATTGCAATGTTCTCTCATCGTATCGCTTGAAGGGAGTGTGGCTGTAAATAGAGATGCGCTTGCGAAGGGCGAAGGAGGGAGGGCGGGGAATTTTTCATCCCTGCTTTCAGAAAGTTTACAGTTTAAGGCGCAGATAAAGCAGGTGCAGTTGCAGACACGTGCTGGGCGGGAGCAAATACACAGGCACAATAGAGGGGAGTTATGGCTCTGTAGTCGGGCTTTAGAGGGTAGTGTGATATGGGAGGGCTCCGGAGATGGTGGGATAAGGTCAGCGGGCTCAGACACTCTGCAGCTTCTTGCCCTCTGACCTTTGAGTGAGGTTAAGAGGATGCCTGGCAACACAGATTAGGGCTGGAGGCAGAGGCTGCCTGATGGAAGAAGCTGGAGGGGTGATGTTAAGGCCACCAGCTTCGGGAAGAGCTTTTGCAGGGGGATACCTGCCTGCCGCTGAGAAGGAGCCCGGTGTTGGCATGTCGGTTCTTTTTCTTCGGCTCCGCTAACCTACGGAGTAAACGATCTTGTGATCGTTTTTATCTTCATGTTCTCTAATGTGGGGGACTGGCTTCTGCCACGATTCCTTGCAGACATGTTTGTAATAATAAAGTCTGGTAAGAGTAGTGAACACAAGTTGCTATGAGATATTAGGACTTTTCTGCCCAAGTTCAGGGGTTAGAAGTTGAGCCCCTTCTAAAGGGGGCTGAGTCCAAGAAGGGGAATTCCATAATTCTTGCCACACGGAGTTTCTTTTCTGACTTTGTGTTCACTCCATGCCTCTGTAGCATCATGTTTGCTTTTCCTCAGCCTGAGATGGTCTTCCCCACTCCTGTGTTGGCTTGCAGAACCCCTGTTCCCTTCTTTGGCAGCCAAGAAACACCTCCTAGGATTCCCAGGCTCCAGTGGGAAGAGTTCTTTTGAGCTTGGTTACAGCACTAACAGCCTCGTGTCATAATTGCTTGTTTGTCTCATCTCTCTCTTTGCTCCTTGAGGGCATGGATCAAGCCTTGTTCTTCTCTGTGACTGGCACTGGGGAGGCCCTTAGTGAATAATTTGTGGACCGACTGCCCACTTGGAAGAAGAGAAGCCTGGAGGGTAGGAAGCACATGCAAGTTACAGAAAAGGTATTTATAAGAAGGACCACGGTGAGCCCCCAGACAGAGAGTGAAAATGAGTTGGTTCTCTGGGTGGTGAGGATAGGGGAGTCCTGCTTTTGCCGTGCTGTCCTGGGGGTTATTTTGAATAAAGAACGGGGGTTCTGTTGTACAGAATCCTCCCTTTTAGGGCCATCATGGTATTGCTAATGGTATTGTTTTGGGGAAAAATCCTTTGGAATGAAGCACAAAGCCCAACAGGATTTACAGGTTTGTTTTCCTTCCAGTGAGCTCTCTCTTCATAATTCCTGCTTTTTAGAGGCCAGAAGTATTCAGTGTCCTGATTTGAGACTGAAAAATAAAGTGTCTGTTACAGCACGAGGCCCTGGGACAAAGAGCCTCCTTTGGGGATGAAATACCGCGTAGCTTTAGATCTTTCTCGAGGAGATTCTTACATGATACACTTGCTTGGGGAAGAATTGGCTGGTTGATTCTGAAGTTAGGATGCCTGACCTGCTTGCTTCCAGAAGATGAGAAGGCAAAGCATGTGCTGTTTCACATTGGCTTCTACGTAGGTGAGGAGTTGCCGGGCGTGTTGGGTTGGCTCGGCAAAGAACGTGACCTTGAAAAACTTCCCGGTTCCACTTGGCATCTCTTCTTGGTGCGTGGGGCCTCTTTGCTCAGTCTCTGGCTACCATTTAGTTCATCAGGAGCTTGTACGTCTTGGGGGATGGTGGGCAGAGGCTGTGAGAGGTGGGAGGAGTGGGAGGGAGAGGGGACGGGGGAGGGGTGAGGAGATGGGAGATGTAAACAGATGAAACGAAAAGGCGTCCAACGTGTCTATTTAGCCTTCAGAGGGTAATACATGTCTGCAAGATAAAATATGTATGAGAATACAGTGAGAAGTAAATTGCCCTCCCTCTCGTGTCCCCCGTTTATGTGTTGCCTCTTCTCAGTTGGCAACTGCTATCCTCTGTTTTTCTGTATGTCTTTCCAGAAACATTCTATGCGTGTAATGGCACAGAGGTGCAGAAAATTCGGAATTGGTAAGATCAGTGCATTCTGTGATCCGTAGCCACTGATAGCATGAATGATGAGGTTAACTCTTGCTCCACGATGTGTTTGTGGCATTCGACTGTCAAAAGTAGGGCGTTACGTGAAGTGTCATAGAGTAGGAGGGCTTGTTACTTTCCCTCCAGGCCTGGGAAGGAAGACGGCCTCTCGTCGCACTTCGAGGCTTCCGGAGAGCCACCTCATGGCCCTGGTTCTGGAGCAGGCTGCTGGAGAGCAGTTCCCTAGAGGCGAAGAGCCCAGGTCTGTGAAAATGTCAGAACCGAGAGGCCACGGATCTTGCTTTGAACTCGTGTTCCTTTCGGGAATGGTTTCTTTATAGTCTGTAAAATAAAGTTAATGGTATGTTTAGTCGATTGCTTTGAGACCTGGGATCCAGGAGGCCCATCCTAACCACAACTCGTGTCCCAAAGCCAAAGGCTGATGTCGTCGGGTCCTTTCATTGTCGTATTTTTGGTCTGTTTCTCCTTAAAGATGACAGCCACCTTCGTGTCGTCCTTGTGTCATCCCAGAGCCACAGAGAGACGGAGCCAGCCAAGTCCTGTCTACTGTAGC